GGTGAGGGTTAGAGGTTAGGGTTAGGGGTTAGGGTTAGAGGTTAAAGGTTAGGGTTAGAGGTTCGGGTTAGAGGTTAAAGGTTAGGGTTAGAGGTTAGGGTTAGAGGTTAAAGGTTAGGGTTCAAGGTTAGGGATAGAGTTTCAGGTAAGTGTTCGAGGTTAAAGGTTAGAGGTTGAAGGTTAGGGTTAGAGGTTAGGGTTAGAGGTTCAAGGTTAGGGTTAGAGATTAGGGTTAGAGGTTAAAGGTTAGGGTTAGAGGTTAGGGTTAGAGGTTAAAGGTTAGGGGTGGAGGCTAGGGTTAGAGGTTAAAGGTTAGGGTTAGAGGTTCGGGTTGGAGGTTAAAGGTTAGGGTTAGAGGTTAGGGTTAGAGGTTAAAGGTTAGGGTTAGAGGTTAGGGTTAGAGGTTCAAGGTTAGGGTTAGAGCTTTGGGTTAGAGGTTAAAGGTTAGGGTTAGAGGTTCAAGGTTAGGGTTAGAGGTTAGGGTTAGAGATTAAAGGTTAGGGTTAGAGGTTAGGGTTAGGGGTTGAAGGATAGGGTTAGGGGTTACGGTTACAAGTTAAAGGTTAGGGTTAGAGGTTAGGGTTAGAGGTTAGGGTTAGAGGTCACAGGTTAGGGTTAGAGGTTAGGGTTAGAGGTTAAAGGTTAGGGTTAGAGGTTAGGGTTAGAGGTTGAAGGTTAGGGGGTTAGAGGTTAAAGGTTCGAGGTTAAAGGTTAGGGTTAGAGGTTAGGGTTAGACGTTAGGTTAGAGGTTAGAGGCTAGGGGTAGAGGTTAAAGGTTAGGGTTAGGGGTTAGGGTTAGAGGTTAAAGGTTAGGGTTAGAGGTTAGGGTTAGAGGTCAGAGGTTGGGGTTAGAGGTTAGGGTTAGAGGTTAAAGGTTGGGGGAGGTTTGGGTTAGAGGCGCTGCAACCCCTCCATGGTGCAGGCAGCATCAGCTCGCGAGCTAGACCAGGAACTGAGAGCAATGCTGCTGGCCGGCACCATGCTGGCTGAGGCAAAGCTCAGCAATGCAGAGCGCAGATGCGTGAGCCTCCACCTCATGGCCCACAGCCTTATGCCGCTGTGCAGCGAGGCACTACCGAGGGTCACACCACCAGGCAGTGATGCCACGCCAAATGCAGCAGCAGCCCTGAAGGCTGCGCTTGGCAGCTACGGCGCCGTCATGTCTGGCGAGAGGGACATCACAGACGTGAGCTGGGTCAGGGGCGACGGAGGCAACCTGATTGTCATGCTGGGCGCTAGCAAGCTGTGCCTGCCAGCGCCATACCTGGCAAGGCTTGAGGCGAGGCAGATCATTGGCAGCGAAGGGCATGCCCTGGCTGCCTGCCTGCTAGCCTTGGTGCTGCACGGTGGCAATCTGCCAGATCTCTCCTCAGGAGGAGGTGGGTCGTCTCTGCTGTGGAGCACAGCGAAAGCGCCCTGGGAGCCAAGCGCCCACGAGACCTTTGAGCTGTTCGCTTTGCCTGCTGAGGCCCACAGCGAGCTCTTCGCAGCACCGTGCCCAGAGATCAACTGCTGCTTCGGTGCAGTCGGCTCGTGCAGCACCTTGGGTGCTTCGCCTCTGCTGAGGAGCAGGATTGCGCACCTGCACCTGCGTGCAAACCCGCCGTGGTGCGCTGCAGGATGGGACGCAACGCGCAGAGTTCTCCAGCTCATGCAGTCCCACTTCAAGCAGGCCACGGTGGCTATCGCGGCAATCCTCAGCGCCTCACGCTCCATGCGCTGCATGCTGGAATGCTGGAGGCTAAGCCGCCTCTCCTTGCATGATGCGCTGAATACCGCGAGCGGCTCGCCCAGCACCATCTTGTCCAGGCTTGCAGGCATCTGCACTGCTGCCCCCTTCTGCAGCTTCGGCGGAGCGGAGCCTTTGACCGAACCTCTGCCAAGGCCCGCTGGGGAGGGCGCTGTCTCCTTGGGTGCTTTGCTGAGGCTGGAGGCGCTGGCCAGAAGAGGCGCAGGTCTGGCCAGCGCCTGCCACCATTCGATGTGAGCCAGAGAAGCGGGCTGGAGGCTGCCGTTAGGGTTGCCTGCTTCGCTGAGTCCCCTGCTGCACTGCTACTGGCAGAGGAGGGATGCCCCGCTGCGGCCTTTGTTTTTGGTTGGAGGTGAAAGGTTAGGGGTAGAGGGTAGGGTTAGAGGTTAAAGGTTAGGGTTAGAGGTTAGGGTTAGAGGTTAAAGGTGGGTTAGAGGTTAAAGGTTAGGGTTAGAGGGTAGGGTTCGGTTAAAGGTTAGGGTTAGAGGTTAGGGTTAGAGGTTAAAGGTTAGGGTTCGGGTTAAAAGGTTAGGGTTAGAGGTTAGGGTTAGAAGTTAGAGGTCAGGGTTAGAGGTTAGGGTTAGAGGTTGAAGGTTAGGGTTAGAGGTTAGGGTTAGAGGTTCAAGGTTAGGGTTAGAGGTTCGGGTTAGAGGTTAAAGGTTAGGGTTAGAGGTTAGGGTTAGAGGTTAAAGGTTAGGGTTAAAGGTTAGGGTTAGAGGTAACAGGTTAGTGTTAGAGGTTAGGGTTTCGCGGTTGGAGGTTAGGGTTAGAGGTTAGGGTTTGAGGTTCAAGGTTAGGGTTAGAGGTTAGGGTTAGAGGTTAAAGGTTAGGGTTAGAGGATAGGGTTAGAGGTTAAAGGTTAGGGGCAGAGGTTAGGGTTAGAGGTTAAAGGTTAGGGTTAGAGGTTGGGGTTAGAGGTTAAAGGTTAGGGTTAGAGGTTAGGGTTAGAGGTTAGGGTTAGAGGTTAGAGGTTAGGGTTAGAGGTTAGGGTTAGAGGTTAGAGATTAGGGTTAGAGGTTAAAGGTTAGGGTTAGAGGTTAGGGTTAGAGGTTAGGGTTAGAGGTTAGAGGTTCAAGGTTAGGGTTAGAGGTTAGGGTTAGAGGTTAGAGGTTGGGGTTAGAGGTTAGGGTTAGAGGTTAAAGGTTTGGGTTAGAGGTTAAAGGTTAGGGTTAGAGGTTCAAGGTTAGGGTTAGAGGTTAGGGTTAGAGGTTAGGGTTAGAGGTTAAAGGTTAGGGTTAGAGGTTAGGGTTAGACGTTAGGTTAGAGGTTAGAGGCTAGGGGTAGAGGTTAAAGGTTAGGGTTAGAGGTTAGGGTTAGAGGTTAAAGGTTAGGGTTAGAGGTTACGGTAAGCTGTTCACACCAACACCTCTGAGGTTCCCTACCTAAAGGTCATGGAGTTGGCATAGTTGGCCAACTTTAAGTCTAGGGGAAGCTTAAAAAGTCCATTTGTTCCCCTTCAAGAAATCTTGCAAACAGTGAAAAGCCTCCCCTTTGACACCAGCCAACATGGCCATGGGTTGCACAGCTCGAATTTTTGACTCCCCTTCAAACATTCCGACTGATCCTTGCAGCGGAACGAGCTCCCTACACGATCGCCACTCCTCAGCAGCTCCCATTGGACATGGGAAATGACCTTTACAAGGCCATGGGTTGCATAACCTGTGGCGAGCCATTTTGGGGTGGATGAATATCCATGTGCCACCTATTTTGACGTTCACCAGGCCTAGGGGTACAAGGTTTTGACCCACAGCCATTGTTTCGTCTCGGGGAAGCTTCCATGTCCATTCTTTCCGCTCAGATCGAAATCTGTGCAAAGCGCCAAAAAACCCGAAGAAAACACGGCTGGGCTCTGAAAAGACCGATGGTTGAGCAGAATGGGGAATCATTTTACAGGGAGGTCGGGGGTAACTAAGAAAGACCTCACCCTTCATGCAATACTGGAGACCCTTGAAAACGCTGCCCCCTTTTACAAACCCTAATATCAAAGACTGACCCCCACTCACCCCCAGACCAAGCTCCAAACAACAAATATGACAGCTAAGCCTTACTTAGAGCTTATTTACCCCGTACCCCCAATTCAGCCTTGTTGTTTTGTCTTATCCTGAAGGGGTATGTTGCAGGGGTCTGGTGGCACAACCTTTACACATAAAAACCCAGCAGGGGAACCAACAGGGACATGGGACAAATAAAGACCGAACTGAACGAACATTTGAATGAATAGCATAGTACGTCAGTAACAAAATAGGTAAATCATGACATGATTCAAACAAAAAATAACAGCATGATGGAACAACACATATTCAATCAACATGGTTACACATAATATGTGTAAACGATACCCTTTGAAGGAATTGGACCAGTGGTTGGTTGCTGAAACACATGTTGCAACCAATCCTTATATTTAGTGAACCTTAAGTCTCAAGCAATGTCAGGGTCTAACTGAACCCATTATTGATCAACCAGGGTCTATAAATCTTGGGCTCCATTGCAAAACGATGGTTTTGATGGCAAACAAGGAGGGCAATGTTGACCCCGGAACAATAAACCTCTCAGATAAAGGAGGAACTTCATTAAAAAGGGCAAGTCAATCAGGGGCGAAATGATTGGAATGGGGGGGGCGTTAACACCCAAGAAAGTCACAACTACAGGAGTATCCATTATAGCGTGATTCTGTTTGAGCCATTCGAAAATTATTCTGAATAGACACGAGGGATCCCTCTTTCCAGAAACAGCTCAACAAAATGAGGGAAATCGAGCGGCTTCACGAATGCCGGATGAACGAGGGGTTTCAATTTTGAGCCAGAAGAGTGAAGTGATTTTCAAGAGGGCATTGTTGGGTGCTTCTAACAATTGGGGACTCCTGGCGGTGGTTGGTTTCCCTCTGGTTTGCCATGTTTACCTTTAAAACCAAACGAAGGATATCTTTGTGAGACAAGCCCAGGGAAGGATACCTTTGAGCACTTTGCTAGATGCGATTCCCTGCACAGGTGGGGATGTGGATGTATCCTTCTACCGCTACCGCAAGCCTTTACAAGAAACAACCACATCCAAACACGAAACCCGGACAAATCACCTTGATTTACAGGGGTCCCTTTGGTCCCTACTTGCAAAATGGGGAACCCTGTGAAAAGAGGAGGGTTTCCCTTGTTTCCTTCCAATGCTCCTTGGCTCTCCATGGTTTTGCGGTTGGATGTGGATGGTTTACTTACAAACCTTGGGGCATCTGCATGCCTCACTCCCTCGCTGGTGCCTCGTCCACCTTAGCAGGGAAGGCCACGCCGCCGTCCTCCCAGACACCGCACACCACCTACCGCGCGCGAGCTTTCCGAGCACGTTCAGAAGGGCGGGAACGGCGTGGGTTTCAACCTTATTCCGCCCAAAACACCTGGAAGGGACAGGAGTTAATCCTTGTGGGTTTTAAGACTGAATTTGTCCAAACAAAGGAACAACCGGTCGGCCTTTGAGCAAGCAATCAATGTATTTGTGCGTGGGACCGTCTCTTACCTTCACTTGCCCGGGTAATGATCATGGCTCACATGAGACTAAGCCTATGTTCATGGGGGTTCCCATGTGCGCTGCCCGTGTTTCCACCACTTCTGGCTTCTCTTCAAACACGTCACCTCCGGAGATCTCCATTCAATACTCCGTGTTTCCTCGAGCACATGCCCATAGGTCTGCCTATGGGCTTCGAGCTCACCGGTTCGGAAGTTGAATGAGCTATGATGTAGCTCCTTCGCCCGGCGAGCAGATTTCAGGTGTTGGAACTACGCCTGAAGGACATACCGCACTTGGGTGTCTTTCGTTCAGGGTACCCTTTTTGGTTGCTTCAAAAAGAAACCAACAAAATTGGACGCCCAGCATTTTTTGGGTCCACCCCAAAGAAAACCAAACAAAACCGACACGACTTGGACAAACCTCCGCGAGTGCGGATATAATTTTTTTCGGCCCGCCTCCAGCAGCGAGCGGCCCTCCGGGACCCAAGGCTGCTGGGAGCAGTAGGCCTACGTCGGTTGGGCCCGGGATGCCCACAGCGGCTTTGAACCCACCGGGATCCTGCAACGGAACACTGGCTCCTACACATAGCGTCAAGAAATGTGGCTCCAAACTGCTAGGCTTCAGTTTGGCTTCCCCAAAACAAGAGGCAACCAAAGCAGGGGTCGCAAATCAAACTTTCACATTCTCGGCCATTTCAAAGCGGCGGGACCGGCCCGAACATCGTGTGCCTTGCTCCCCATCCACGAACACACTCCCAACACCAGGAGCGGATCCCATTCGTTCCAGGAGCAAAGTCAAGTAGAGGGGCCTTTGGACTACAGATCTTGCGCCCAACGCACCATGCTCAACAGACCTGAAAGAGAACTGAGATGCCGGCCTGCCGTGACTAAAACACAAGCCCAAGCCGGACCAAGGAAAGCAACACACGGAACTTGTGGCTTGAAATGACCAACCCACAGGCTGTTTTAGTGGGCCGGCTCGCTTGGACTCGCAATCCCGAGGCTGCGGCGACATCCTGCGGAGGCGCCAGCAAGTCGGTTCCTGGCCGCACGAAAAACAACATGCCCTGGAGACGATTTGTAGAAAGCACGGTGATCTTTCAAGCAAATACCATACCTTGGTCAGGCAATCAAAAGACAGTTCTTTCAGGGGTACTGCAAATTCATATAACATACATACATATTTATTGATATACAGAAGTTTGTCTCATGGGGAAGCTCAAAGTGGGCCTCTCACTTCCCAAGTTGACTGGCCAAAAAAAGTCTGAACTTTTTATTTACCACTAAAATAGGTTTTCCAAAAAGTTTAAAGTTCATGAACTCAGGAAGTGAGGCCTTTGGTTTCCATTCAAAGCAGCTTCAAAGAGGGCACTCTCCGAGAAAAAAAAACCTGGCATATGTATATATATATAGAGAGAGAGAGAGAAAAAAAATCAACATATACGCTTATCTATATATATATATATACACATCTGTCGCATCGCTTAGGGACAACTTGCCTTCAAGTAGAATGGGAAGCAGTTACGGTGTTCCAAAACGACGCATACGTGCCATAGTCAGATTTTTTCATGTCAGTCGTTCCATTAGTTTTGACCGTGGCGCATGCAAGGTTGTTTGGAATGGTTGGGGAACCTCCACTTTTCCCCAGATCGACATTACGGATAGGTCAGCTACAATCAAAACCTAGCATGGTCCAGAACCACAAGGCCAGATGTTCGACCTGTTCCTCCCTTGGACTGTCCCAACCTTCACCTACCCGCAGTGGTTTTGATGGCTCAGGTGCAGTCGGCAGTCGCCATACCTCCCCGACTTCCTGAGGCGGCGGCCAGGCATCTCACCCAGGAAGGCCCGGAGCAGACTGGACTTGCCTGACCACGCACAGATGCAAAGGATCATTGGGGATTAGCGGGGATCACCGGGAATGACTGTAGAGCCCCCTCCCGTATGCTAACACAGCATCCAGCCAATTTCCCTGTCCTCTGTCTCAAGGCTGGACCCTCAGAAAGCCTTCAGACCTTCTCTGGACACCGGGAAGGGGCTCCAGTACCCAACGGGGGTTCTACCTGCCTGCCTCCCTGCCGGAGCCTTGCCTGAGCCCACGGGGCCGATGACCGCTACAAGCTCGCCCTCCTGGCAGGTCGCGAAAAATCGCTCCCCGTTGGGCGTCCTTTTGGAAAAAGCAGATGGGTTCGCTTGGTACTGCAAATGGATGGCATAAAAACCCATCTGCACCAGTGGAACCCATCTATTACTTTGCCCAAACCGATCAAAAGGAAAATCGCCGCTCCCGAAGCGAGTCTTCGGCCAAGTTGGCAAGCCCAGAGAGCCGCGGAGGCTTTGTGAGCCTCTAGTGACCATTGGGCCCTCTCGTCAGGATAATTTTCATTGGCGCTTTGGTCCAATGAGCATCTTGAGGATGCTAAAACAAAGTCCAAATGATGAAGCTTCCCACCAGCAAAACGTTTGCCAAATCAACATGGCAAGACTCTGCTTCCAGGCTCAGGTTGGAACTTCCTCAAGCACCAAAGCGAAGTTAGAACACCATCTCGTGCAGGTTTGCCAAACGTGTACCAGCATGAGGCTTCAACATTTGGAGGCTTCTCAAAATAAGGGAAACCAAAAGGAAACCAACCTCCTGGACCCGAATTTTGAGAAACGTCGATTTGTGTTTGCCTCGAGCAAGTCTTCCAGGACCTTGTGGACGTTTCATGAGGGATTCCGGCATTCCAACAAGAAAACGGCAGTAATGGGTCCAGCTGCTGCACTCGCCAAAACAACAAGGACCAAAATCCGAAGATTCGTCTTGAAGACCACCCCTTCCCAATTTACAGCCGAGATGCCCCTCAAGAGCTTTGCTTTGGCCCTCCCTTCGTCTCATTTCGGGTGCCAGCGAGTCCCAACTGGTGCCAACGAGTCCCACTGGTGCCGTACCATTTCATGATTCCCAAAACTCTCAGTGACCATGCCAATCCATTTCTGCCTGGAGCACTTTAAAGTATCACCCACAAATGGGGGAAGCTCCGTATTTTACCACAATTTGCCGGGAGGGGTTCTGGTTGGATGTGTCTGGTTTGGTATATTTGCGGAACCCGCCATGCTGCTTTCACATTGCCGGGTCTGCCAGTACGGAGACACAGCGCCTTGACACTGATGGGCTCCGGCAGCACTAGGCTTGGCGAGGACGAGGATGTGCCCAGCGGGTACCTCGTTGCTTTGGGCAGCGCTTAGAGTATCCACCAACAACCCCTTGGTTGAACACGGTTTAAACTGCGTGTGTCCAACTTGACACTCATTCCATGTAGTGGCCGACCGAATACCCAAACTATGTTCTCCGCTCTCAACGGGAACTTGAGAACTACTTGACCCCGAAAAGCCGATGGTTTCCTCTTGGTCCGGTGGTAATCTGGCCAAAGTGTAGCTCTTCTGGGGCCCAAGATCGGGCCCAAGATCGGGCCCAAGATTGGGCCCCGTGCGTGGTTTGGAACTCACTTGCCACGGCTTAAAACAAAGGTCAACCAGAGTCGTGGCTGAAAGGGACCGCTTGCTTGGTTGGTATACGTTTCGTTTGGAAGGGGGCGAGCTTTTGGCCTCCCCAACCACAAGATATCTGTTTGCTTCTGGTCATTCTGGTCAATAATTGGTGAGCTTCAGGCTCGCTCCTGCCGAGGTGCGACCCGGGCTTCAGCAGCAGAGGCAGCTCCTGCCAAATCGACGATGCGATACTCGCTCGGCGGAATGCTGCCGTGGGGTGTTGTTTTGTTCTGCACGGGTGCTTTTCCCGCCCCGAAAAACCCGAGAGCCAAAAGGCCAAAAAAGAAACGAGATAAAACACCAATGGAGGGGAGAACTTCAACGAATACCCCTCAGAAAGCCGAAGCAAATCATTCAAACAAACCAAGAAAACCCGAGGTAACGCTCAAACCTCACCCGCAAACGCCGACAAAAGCCCAAAGAGGAAACACACGAACAGGGAAAGCCCGACCAAAAGCAAAAGAACTGCCCAGAACAACCCGAACCAAAAAAACACACGAAAAACACAAAACGATTTTTTCTGGGCGTCCTATCCGAAACCAGGCCGCTTCCTCCCCCCTTTTGTCGCGCGGGTCACTCGCCTTGTCCTCGGACATGGGGGGGCGATGCGCGGCCGCCTCGGGCAGCGCCAGGAAGGCGCTGAGGCGCCCGAGGGCGGCCTGGCCCTCCGCCAAGGCGTTCAAGGCGTTGGGGTAGAAGAGCAACGGGAACCGGATCCTCACCCGGAGGCCCCCGATGGATTTCGATTGATTTCGGGCCTTCAAACAACCTGGGGTTGAGACCGGGTCCCAACCATCTTGGGGTGTCTAATGGAGGGGTCGGGTCTTCCATTGGAAGCCCCAGGAGCCTCTGGGCAAAACCAAGAACCATGGGCTGGCACGCAAGAAAAAAAAGAGACAAAACAAAAACAAAAACACCTAGGGCGCTGGTGTAAACCTATAGGGAAGGTTGCCAAAGATCCTGATCAAACAAAAAACACAGTTTGTTTTGTTTTTATTATTTCCAGGGCAAACCACAACCACAGGGAAAGAAACACCATTGTTGGGGGTGCTGTCTAACAAGAAAGAAACAGATGAGAAAAGAAACCGGAAAGACAAAACTTGCTGGTGCGATAGCTAGGGAATGAGAAATGGAATGAACCCAGGCGTTGGTCCCGAAAAAGAAAACCACCAGTTGCATGGATTATAGGGGTCATTCCATTTCTCATTCCCTGCTGAGCGCCAGACAGAACAACCAACGAGTTTGTTCAAACCACAGGGACCAAACTAACGGGATCCTTGGGTCACTTGGGTGTTATTTATTTTTGTAAGACATGGAATCCCACTTTGTTTTGACGGAAAACCTGGAAGAATCAGAAAACAAACCGACACTGTTGTGGATCATGTGGATCCGAATGTGGTGAAAGGAGCAAATAGGAATGACCAAAACTGCCTGTCAGGGATCCTCATGGAGGGACTCAGCTGCGCTCTCAACGGGTGACTCATCCGCGCCCTTCATGTCGCCCTATAGCTCAAAGTGCCGCACCCGCCACGCAATCCAGCTCTAAGCGAGCTCTTGCTAGGTATCCCACTATGCGGAGCACATGGGCATCTAGCGGTGGGGCAGTCACGTTCGCTTACTGCGTGCTCGCGTAGCTTGTGTCCTGGTTGCTTGCAAGGGGTAGGGGGCGGGGGAGGGAGTTTGGAGACAATCCCCCTTTGATGTTCAAGAAAGGAAGCGGATTCTCAGTGTTGACGACCATAGGGAGGCTACCTTGCTGTTGCGAAGTCTTTGACGTTGTTCTACAGTACGGTTGAACGACCCCCTTGCTCTTTAGGCGCGTTTGGGGAAGGTAGGAGGGTTGAAGACAATGGAGAGGCCTTGCTTTGATAAGTTCACCAGTCTGGAGGCAAGTCTTTGGCTTTGAAAGAAAGGAAATGTTTCAACAACCTCCTGAAGCAGGTGTCGCTTTCCTTTGCAGATCCTTCCTGATGCTTCCCCTACGTTGGTTCGCAATAGGGAATCATCAGGTGCTTTGAAAATGACCCTGGGGACCCACTTGAAGGAAACCACTTGTGCGATAGGTTTTTTGGGCTCATTCAGAGTCCAGCCGAGACGCTGGTTCAGCAGACTCAGCGCCGTAAAGATCATCGCGGCGTTGAAGGAGCTGTGGGCGGCGCCCACGTAGGCCATCAGCACCACCGCGATCATGAAGGGCGGCAATGCGCTAAAGTAAGACAGCCTTGGATTGATACAACAAAACGGCGAAACAATCTGCGGTTTGCTGTTCCCCTACTGGGTGTATTTGAGTAAGACAGAAAGACATCCTGAACACTGCGCTGCAAAGTGCAGTTTGAGGACCGAAATGTAGTTGTGAGAACCCCTCAAAATATTCACCGAAAGGGACCCCAAGAAATAGCAAAGCTCAGCGTGTTTCCCGCAGCTAGGCTTCGACCAACCGATCCAGGGAACAGTCGAACCTCTACAACTCGCTCGTCAGCGTGAATCGCTTCAACGGCCAGCTCCAGTGGCGCCATGTGAGCGCCGTCAGTGGAACATGTTGTGCAAGTGCATGGGGTGTTGGGCTGCAAAAAAGACTCTAGGTGTCCATGGGGGCTCCCCAGCTTGGGGCACATGAACGGGGACAGCCCTGGAAAATGGGCGGAAACGGGTTTGGGCGTGCTCGGCTTCCCAAACAGGACGCAGAAGGACGCTGGACCAAACATATATGGGGCCGTACCCCATGATCATGGGACCAAACGGTGTTCCGAGACCCAAAGCCGACCAAACATTCCTTTCAATATGTCCTGACCCCCTTTTTTTCACACGGACAAGTGCACAAGTGCCAAAATTCAGATTGCGGGGGGGATGCTTTCGATCAACATCTCGGTTGCTTTCTGCTTCCCTGCCAAAAGTTTAACTTTTAGTGGTGCAATGCAAAACCCATTCGTTGGCAAACTGCTAAAGTCCTGACATCCAAGCAAAATGCAACAAAGACATTCAGTCGCCGCGTCCGCCTTCGGCCGCGAGGCAGGTAGGCCGCCACGGTGTCGCGGCTCCGCTGCGCCTCCAGCTCCGCGTCCCTCAAGCTCCTCACCCGGCGCTCGAAGACGTCCTGACGGGGGTAGATGTTTGTGAAAGGCGCGCGCTGGAATGTTCTCCCAAAAAGAAGAGGGGCCTGGAATCTGGGCAAGGACATCAGCTCAAACTTCTTGTCCCTCACTTACTGTCACTTGTTTCCTGGAGGCATTTCCAGCGTAGCAAATCCCTATACACAAACTCGAAATAAGGAGTTTTACCCTCCCCCTCCCCCACCACCAGTTTTCGGGGCAAATTTGTTCGTGAACTGATCTGAACGAAATCCACTGAACTGGGACGAAACGGAAGCGGTTCTTGTCGAATCCACCGGGACTGAGATACTATCAAAGATGGCCTGAAAAAGCAGACACCGACCAACAAGTTGGACTTATCCCGGAATCCACAAAAAAAACATCTTATTGGTTGAACATGCTCCAGGGATCCTGGACGGGGAAATCGGAAAGGAAGGCAGGGGCCAACCCCTGCTTCTCTCATGGTCAGGGTTGGGCCAACCCTTTGCTTAAACATGTATTGCGCAAACAGCCCCCTCCTCGTTTCCCGACTCGCTTCCCGAGTGGATTGGGCAAGAAACTCCAAGTCCAGGGGAACTGAGCAAAGGGAACCCGGTGCCTTTTGTTCACAAAATATGTGTCCAAGAGTCACCCAGTAAAATTAAGGACCTTCATCACTTTTCCAGGTGAGCTCGCAAAAAGGCAAGTTTGGGCAATCAATTTGGTGTCCCTTCAAGGTGGACTGAATCGGGGTTGGTTGTAAGACGCTTTGATCGATTTCCTCCCAGCCCATCTGCCGCAGTGCGCGGATGCCCCCCAGGATCTCGGAAGTCTGCGAGACCCGGGCGTCGCTGGCCTGGCGGTTTTTCCGGCTTCCGACACCGAGGAGAAGGCGGTTTAAGCAAAATGGATGGCTGAAAGGGGAGCCAGAAAGGGTGGTTTAAGCAACATGCATGGGGTCTAGAGGTGGTTTCAAGGTGCCTGAGGTGGTTTAAACCATAGCTCTGGTCACTGCTTGGTTTGAATTGGCTTTTTAGGCTGTGAAGCCCTGCTTGAGGGTCAATCTCCAAACCGCCGGGCTCCACACCACGAGGAAAGCTGAGCTGGGCCCACTGGGAAAGTCGCAGTGGCAGATGGCAAGGACTTCCCGGCAATTTTATTCATAGAATGGTAAGAGAGAGATGGTGTCCACCCAAACAACCACCAAGAAACATACCCTTTGTGAATGCGGTACATCCCATCAAGCCTCTGGGAATCGTGGTTTGGGCAAGCAAAATCCATCCTACTTCAACTGATTCGCCTGCTCTTGGAGAGGCTCACCTGTTGCCCCCCTCTTTTGCCAAGGGACGTTCAACAAATGTCGAGGCACAGGACCTCTTTTGGTTCACCAGCTCTCAAGAGGCCAGGCTCATTGCATGAGGAACTGCCCAAAAACTCCCCTGTTTCGGGGTCGGGGAGGGCCAGGGGTGGTTCCTTGCCGAAGGAGAGTCCCAAGGCGCGGTTTGATCATCTCAACTGTTTTGTCACATAGGGGCCCAGGTTTGGTTCATTGCCTCAGGACTTGAGGTCAACGAAATGGGATCGCAATGCCTTACGCCCCATGGTCACTTTCTTTGGGTCTTTCAATTGGCGAGGTCCTCAGGATTGATCAAGACTCCCAGAGCGCCTGCAGGCACTTCTTGTTGAGCCGGCTCAGGTTCCGCTGCAGCTGCGCGTTGAAGGGTAGGCACACGATGAGCACCTGAACACGAGGCCTTCCTTGCACGCACGGGCCTGGATTCAATGGAATTGGTATGCTCAACAGTGACCAAACATTCTGAGCCATTTGCAGCAGCAAGGAAAAAGAGGACCGATTCTCTTTGGGGTTGACCCGGTTTCAGCAAAACGAGCTTTCCACTGAGCAGCACTTGATCACTCCTAAAGCTCGAACCCTTCTTACGGGCGTCCGTTGATTTCCGAGTCTCATTTCTTCTAAGAAAAACCCGTGCCCTTCTTGACCGGAGAACTTTGGGAGTCCAAAAGGACGGCGCTTGCCCGGATCCAGCGCTTCGTCGGGGCGCCACGATGCCCGCGAAGCCGGCCAGGCCCAGGTACCACCACAGCAGCACCGAGTACCCGGCCACCTGGAAGATCCTCGTGCCGGACTCTCGCCGTCCCAAAAAATCGGCAGCGATGGGTAAGGAAGGGAATGAACCCTGGTCACCAAGGGGAGTGCCTTGCCTACACGGGACCCGAAACAGGGCCTCTACATTCCCGGGCCCCTCCAGATTTGTCCGAGGACATGTGACATGGTCCCCCGTATGGTGCCGTTGGTTGTCCTCAACTTGAAGTGAGCTTCCTTTTGGTGGGGTGTTGTTTTTCAGGTGAGGTGACCAGATATTTCGCCACTTCAGAATCGTGAATGGTGGAAAACCCCTTGCTAGCGCATCCAGGTATTCGGACCCCTTTGTGGTTTCCCAGCTCCCCCCGGCTAAGGCCGGAGCCCATCCCAAAGTGTGTGGAAGGCGTAGGTCAAATCCTCCACCTGCCAACACGGGTCCCCAACCAAAACTGATGTTATCTGATGTTTATCCATGCGGGTTTCCTTTTAACGCATTCCCAAGCCTAGCAACTGCCTCAAACGTTGCCCCCAACCACCAAAAAAAGCGCCATGCGTTTGATTCTGGCCAGTAGTATGTGAAACTTACAATATAAAATACTTCAAAGAATCTGAGTTACCTCTTGGCCTCCCCCAATGGAAACTTCTCGATCATCCCTCTGGGTAGCAACTCAGGGAACTTTAAAAGGCCCCCTTGTGGCCAACCAAGATACATGGGTGTGTCTGTTTCAAAATGGTGGGTTTTCCTTTTAGCCAACCAAACAATAAAACAACACACCCACAAAAAAGGACACTTAAATCAATATTCGTGCTTCTCTAGGGCATTTATTCATTTCCTGCTGCTTGTAAAAGTGACATCCTGAAGCTTAGCCTCTCTGATTTTCGGTGCATCGCGCTGGACACAGGCAGCGAGAGGACCTGGAACTTGAGCAAAGTTGTCGTAACATCCCTATAATTGGTCATTCGCAGGCAGGAAGCAGGTGTAAATGGAAACCAGCCCCAGCAGAAATTCCCTTGGACCAGAACATCCAACCCACAATGCTTCATTCGGACCCCCGAAATGGTGTTTTTCCTGTTTGTCTTGTTTCAGAACAAGGTGAAAAGGGTACCCTTCGCCTCAAAAAAACAAGCAACGCCCATAGGCACTCAACAACTTCAGGTCAAACTCTTCAACAACTTCAGGTCAAACCATGGAAAAAAATCAGCTTCCCTCCAATGAGTGGCGAAGAGCAGTTTCCCATTCAATCCAAACCACCAACTAAGGGAAAAAAAGCCAACGCCCCCACGCACACCCAGTGCTTCCGGCTACAAGTATCAGCAGGTAGCCATGGGAAACCATCATGAAAAATCTATAGGTAAAGATACCTGGTTACCTACTATAGTGGTAACTGGAAGTGCTGATCAGATTTGAGCATGTGTCAGCTTCCCTTTCCGAGCCTCAAAAGGAGACACTTCCATTAAGACCCTGAGAGAAAGAAAAGTCCATAAGTGATAGATTCCGTTCAAAAAGGAAAACGGGAAAACTAAAGATATTCTGAAGCAAATGGAAGGACACCCCCCCATTTTGGAGACATCGCAAGTCTTGTTGCCCGCAGTTGCGCCTTGCCGGTGTCCACTTGCATGAGCGTCACCGGCGGCACGGAAAACCCGGTGTCTTGCAGCCGCAGGCTCTTCTCGTAAATGGAAGCCTACCGTGGACCAGTGGCAGCAGGGTTTGGGCAAGTCTGGTATCCAGTCCAAGAATTGGTTGCCTTTGATCCTGCAGGAAATTGGCCAAACCTTTCTTTGAATGGCTTCAGGGTTCAAGGATATCAGGTAGTTGGACGCTCTGGATGTGATCTCGACATGGTTGGTAGCCCTACAAATAATGCAGAAAAGGGGGCTTGAAAAAGAAACCAGGCTTATCCTTTGAGACCGTTTCGGGCACTCCTGTTTGGGTTAGGGTGTGTTTGGGTTTGGCTTTGGGTTTGAGTTTGTGCTTGTCTGTGGCAAATTTCATTGAAAACAACGCTTTTGAGGATGGGGGTTGGGTTAAAAGGCAAATCAAAGAGAAACCACCCATTTGCGGAAGGTGTGCTCATGGGCCTTTAGTGCGAACCCTTACCACGGCTGCTTACATGCACTATCCAGGGCTCCATGATCATCCCACCCAACTCCAAGTAAGCGAATCGGTCTTTTGACCATGGCAAATACTGCGCATGGACAAAATCCGGCGATTTGACTGCTCCAGCTCTTGGTAATTTCCACACTGTGATTCACTGGCCTCATTACTTTACCATGATCAAAGTCATCCCTAAGTGGTGGGGTACGGGAAACAAGCTCAATTTCTGACTTTGATACCCCCCAGGAACAGTCAAAATACCGACATCTGATTCACCCACGCAAACCTGAAAGCAATGTGGGCGTTCAATTCCCTAGCCGCGATAGACCTCGCGTAGCTGGCCTGCAGCATCGCGCGGACGCGCGTGGCCATCACGGTAGTCTGATGGAAGAACTGGTTCTCCACAAAGGTCTTGATACCTCACTCGGATCCTTTAGGTGTCATGGGGTCTAGAACAGCAAAGGCCTATATATATACATATAGAAGAAACCCAATACCATGTTGGTCAGAAACATCTTGGGGTTTCTGGCTCCCCTCAAGCGAACAAACATGTTTGAGGGCTCCAAAAAATACGTTGGGGCCCCCTGCGGTTTCCGTTCAAGCCGCCACTTAGCTCGGGTGGTTTTGCGGATGTCACTTCATTCAATCGAGTAACATGACAGCTTCTGTCTTGAAACGCAAATATATATATATATATATAGATATACCTTTTATAGATATCTCCTACCCCTCCGTTAGGGTACACAAGCTTTTTCTGGCCAGACTAGGGCTGACATTTCACTTGAGACTCAACTGCAATGACAGGATGTGCAACTCCATGTGGTCTCAACCAAGCAAAAGTTAAGCTCAACGCCGAAAAGGAGTTCCTAGTTACGCAGCTAGTGTCATGCCCAGTTGAAACTGGAATCTAGCAAACAATTAAAAGGGTTGTGGCCCCTATCTAACTCCATGTGGTTCAAATCAAGCAAGAACTGAGCCAAGACAACAACAGAAATGTGTTTCTAAACATAGATGCGGGCTTTTCAGCGTTCGCTCCAGATCACGTTGCCCTGGATCGAAGACCGACTATCCAAGAGTCCACACAAACCCTTTTGAAACATCCTCAATCCTGGCACCCCAAAATCTCTCACCTGGGTTGAAGATTGAAGGTCTCCCAAGTTGTGCTTTTTGAGAATCTTCCCCTGGCCGGCCAGCACTTCAATCTCAAAAAAGCGTACATTGGTTGAGCACTATTTTTGGGAGGTGAACAGCCATGATTACAGCAAACTCCAGCAGGATTCCATATATATATATATATACGTACACATATGACATATATGTAGACATATGTTGTATATATATATATATATTGATATATGCATATATGCTGAAACGTATCCCATCCGATCCAATCGAAGCATAGGCGCAGAGCACCGCGAAGAGGCGCACCGCGGCCGCCTGCCCGGCCGCGAAGTCGGCCTTCTGCACGGCGTCCAGCAAGGGTCCCAGGCACAGCGCGGGCAAAAACTGGACCGAGGTGTTCAGGAACCGCAGAAACCTGCGGGATGGGGACATCAGCTGCTTGGGTCATGGGGAAATCTGGAGCTGGTGCTTTCTGGGCACATGGGAACATCTGGAGCGGGGGAAACTGGAGGTGATTTGTTGATGGTTGCTGACATCCTGTGGAGCAAGGGTGAGGAACTTCTGTCAGGCATTGTTGGAGACTGGGTGGTCAGGTTTTGGGCTTGGTGGCTGGGGAGTTTCTGGGTTTGAAACCTGAGGCCACCAACAAGCATGAAACATGCTATTGTGTTCGTTCCATAAAACCTGAGATCGTGTTTGGGTGGTTCTTCCAAAAGTAGGACCCCTTTTGTTTAACCAAGGGTGTTGAGGAACCAGGGAAACCTGCAGTCAGTGGTCAACTTTGGGTCGGGTGCCTTTGTTCGGAACAGCAAAACCAAACTGATTGATGGTTGGGTGTACGCCCCCTGATGAGAAATGTCGGTCCAAACATACTCCTTGGTGTAGGTCAATTGACGAACCGCCAAGCCCTTGCGCAACCAACAAGCAAGAAGCTCCTGGGTGCTTTGCCACTGGGTTGGCAGGGAAAACCAAGCCTTTCATGTTTGGTTCGTTCTTGACCAGGACCACTTTGGCTTGCTGAACCGCCAAAACCTGACAGAGTCATGCTTGGGTGCACGCCCCCTTTGAAGTTTCATAGGAAAACCAAAGACCCTCATTGCGTTCTGGCAAGCCAATAGGGAACTCATGGATCCCTGAGGTAGAAATCCGCTTTGCTACCCACTAACTTGATCTCGTCGGGCAAAGAATCGATCGCCTTTTGCGGGTGTCCAAAAGATCTCAGTTGATTTTTCCCCGAAACCAAAGACTAGCAATGGAGGTGTTGTTTTGTTTTTTGTTCTTATCTTTAAAAAAAAGAAAGAGAAAGAAAGAAGAAAAAAACACGTTGTCTCCAAATGGGGTAGCGTGCACGTCCCCAAAGGGCGGCTTCTTAAGATCATAAGATTGAACCTCCCTGTTTCCCGGAATTAAGACCCAAAAAAAACCTTATTAAGGTCTTATTTGGAGGAAACCAGGAGGGTGGGGTGAAGCCTCACTTCCTGGCCGGCTTTTCCAACCGAAATTTCCGAGCTTTTACCACTAAAGTGGCCCAGACCCCCCCAAAGAACTTGGGCGCTGAGAGTCCGACGAACGGCCCAGTCAACCCCCGTCCCACGCCGGTCGAGGGGCCCGGTCTTCAGCAGCCGGCCCCGGTTCAGGCGCAGGAGCCCGCGTGTCAGCTGCGCCTGGCTGAGCTTCAGCTGAAGCTCCCCCCCGCACACAAAAAAAGTGGTGTTATGGGGGGGGGTTCTCAACAGCAGTCCCTAACAAGGGACCCCAAAAGTGATGGAAGGGAAGCACTGAAGATGCAACCACGTTCATGGACCGAAGGGACACCAAAGACCATACGAAACAGAAACTGGGGGGGATTCACCGCCTTTGATAGGCTGGTCTTTTTCTTGAGGTGACCCCTTTTGGGCTTCTCACTTCTTGAGCGGATTTGCCAAAAAAAGAAGCCAGAACTTCATATTTACCGTGGGAAAAACAAGAAAAGATGTCCAGACCCAAAAAGTGGCTAACGTCCACAAGGGAACTCAGGGGCTGAGACAAGGGAAACGCCGCGCCCCAAACCGAAACCGCCGCCCGAAGCCCGAAGCTTCGGCTCGAAAAACAATTCGCCGCGCCTGGTCCACGGGATCTCCGTCCTTCCGGCCATGGGATCTCCGCCTCCAGCCTTACGGAAGCCACAGGCGCGGTTTTTCGGAGCGGCGAAAAGGTCCGAACTCCCGGCTCTCACTTCCCGTGGATGGGCAAAACAAAATGTCCGAACTATATGTGCTACCACTAACATGGTCTTCCCAAACAGCTGAAGGTCCATGAACTCAGGAAGTGAACTTTTTTTAAGTAGGGCCCAAAGCCATCAAGCAAAGAGTGATTTAGAGCCTGGAACCCACTGAACGGAAGTCGAGTTGTTCTAAGAAGCGGCGTGGTCGTCCCAACCGATATTCGGAAAACAGTTTGAAGGCACGTTGGCTGCGAGAGAAACAAGCGAATCCAGGAAGTCTCGATGAAATCCGCCAAAAACAAAGCAACAAAGCCAGAAGGTGGTTGGCGAGTTGTTAATAGGTCGATCCCTTGTGCCTTCCCCGTCACAACTCCCGAAAACTCCCGAATGAGAACTGAACTTTGGCCTGTAAAGGAGGACAACGAGGGTTCCGCGCCCCAACCGTTCATTCCCTTTAAGCTGGGGATGCCGGCTACCAACTTTTACACGGGGCACCTTGTGGGGGCCACAGTGATGGCGGCTGCAATAAGCTCTTGCAACAGCTGTCACAAGTCCCTACTCTCAATTCGTTGAAAGGGCCCATTTTCAGAAGGCTTCAGTTAGGGCACTGCATATGGACCTATTGTTTCTTCCTGCAGTTTCAAAAGACTGGGGCCCTGAGAATGGAGGGGTTCTTTTGGCGATACTCCTCAAACCAAACCTGTGAGCGGTCGAAGGGGGTGGAGGAATGTAATTGGTCCATACCTTGGATAGACAAAATTCCACGCTAGGCACCAGTTGGAATGGATGAAATCCATCCACGCTACCCACTCCTCCCCCCATGGGGCCCATGCGGCTGCTTTTAAAGGAAACCCACCGGCAGCGTCGACCAAACGAGGAGCTGCTGCGCAGCAGCTCCGACGACAGCTCGCGCGCCAGCGCCTCTGCGCGCATGTCCTCCGAGAGAGAAACGCGGAGGCTCTTGGGTCGAAAAAAAGGCGCCCCGCCCCGATGTTTACCGAGGTCCCCCAGTAGTGCCCTTTTTACCCCCTTTTGGGGGGAGGTGTTCCCCTACTAAAATAGCCTACAGAAAAACTGTACCATTCTAACCTCTCTACTGGAGGACCCAGTTACCAATTCTCCACCCTTGTGGGTTGGTGATGTTTACCAATTCTCCACCCTTGTGGGTTGGTGTTTACCAATTCTCCACCCTGGGTTGGTCACATAGTGGTTTCAAGGAGCAAACCTGAGCCTGGCCCATATCTGGGGTACACCACCATTCTGACGTCCAGCTCCCTTGGACACATTGCCATCCAAGCCCCGGCAAAGACACCCCCCTGCCGCGTCGGAAAGACTTCAGAAAGACTTTTGCCAAGGCCCAAACCCGAATTTGCCTTTTGCCTTCCCCGTCCTCGGGCGGCGGCAGCATGTGGGCGATGTCGATGGGGGGCGGTCGGTTCCCGCGCTCCATCAGTGGACTAACCCAGGCGAAGGCCATACGCGAGAGCCATGCGCCTGGCAACTCCGGACATGAACCTTGGAGGTAGGGAGAGTACTGCTAAACCAATGGTGGCTCAAAAGCTTTGTTGGTGCTAGGCATCCACACCAAATTTTACGGAAATGCACTTGAGGGACTGGGCAATGCGGTTTGACGAGCTGGGGCAAGAATCCTTGGGAAAAAGCAAGTCAGAGCAAATCAGAACAACCTAAAGCAGGTGTCCCTCAATTAAAAGAAAAACGCCCCAGTATTCCGAATACCTTCTACATCGTTTTTGTTTAAGATCAACTAGTTTGTTTCGTTTGTTTGGAGGCCAGAAAAATTGAATTATGTTCTTGTGAAAGGCATTTTGGAGGCCAAGCAAAATCAGTTTGGTTAAGAATCATGGTTCTTTAGTTAGTCTGAGATCCCGGGACTCCAGGCCTCTGAAAAGATAATGCCCTTGCTATCACAAGTGGCACCCTCATGAGGCCAACTTTCCGCTGCAACGATTCTTTTTGGTGCAGAATTACCCTGACCTGGATGCACAGGCAGAGATGGCGACCAAAGTCTGTCAGGGCCGATGCTCAAGTTCTTACTCACACGAATGCGCTCCAAAGAATCAAATGGGCATACTCGCTCGAAGAGGAATGCAATGCTCATGGGGGCCACTTCAGTCACCCAGAGTGTTGAGAATGAACCTAGGGATTCCGTCTAAGGAAACCGTACCCCCAGAGGCGTTCCTTTTTCTTTCACAAAAGACAACCCCCAGTCGATTCACTGCCTACACCCCTTCCAGAACCAAAAACACGGAAACAAGTAGGCCCCAGGAATCCTGGGGACTGTACTATGTCTCTTACATCTGGAGGGGGGGGAGGTGCGACTCCATCTCAAAAACTCGGGATGCAAAAGGAGCTATGAAAATCTGTGAAATAGCTCTTTCAAGGCAAAACAACACCCCTGGCATAAAACAACACGGACAAATAGTGTGGTTCCCGCAGAAACATGTGAATACACCTCTTCCAGGACAAAGAGAACAAAATCAAAAGCGCAACTACCGAATACATTGTGAAAAGAGGGAACCAACACGGGACAAGTTTGCGAACAGGGGGACTTTCAAACCAAACGAATAGTCTCCAAAAAAAACGGGGGAAACAAAAACAAAACAGTGCACAACCAGATGGGGGAAACAAATAAACAAACAAACAAACAAACAAACAAACAAACAAACAAAGAAACAAACATACAAACAAACAAACAAGCAAAAGGCAAAGCGCAAACGGCAGCTACCAGTCGCCCCCGACTCCAAATTCGTCGCTTCGTCCGAGGCGCGGATCCCCTTGGAGGGTGGCTTTGGCGCTTCGCTTCTGAAGGCTGCGATTCGCTTCCTGCGGCGCGGGGTCGGGCGCTAAGCGGGGGGTCGGCTCGGAGGGGCGTGGCTCAGGGCCGGTAGCACCAAACAGCTAAGCTCCTATTTCTCCCTTGGGCAAAAAGGCTCCAGAATGCAGTTAGAACTAATTCCACTTGTTTTGGCCTCAAAGCTGCCCTGAAACTGGAGATCTGAAAAGCTGGTCTGGCGGTGGTTGGAGATCTGGTTGTCTACCACTGAAACCGGTCTCACAGTTGTAGACCCTGGAAAGTGACCGCTCGCTGCAAACAGTGCCGAGCACCTGCAAGGTCTGAAAAAACGTGCCTGAAAAGGATCGGAGGAACTTGCCTTACCAATGACTTGCTTTACATGGGATCCTTTGCCCCCTTGACTTTGTCAAACTGAGGAGCGTGTGTATGTGTGTGTGTGTGTGCGTGTGTGCGTGTGTGCGTGTGTGCGTGTGTGCGTGTGTGCGTGTGTGCGTGTGTGCGTGTGTGCGTGTGTGCGTGTGTGCGTGTGTGCGTGTGTGCGTGTGTGCGTGTGTGCGTGTGTGCGTGTGTGCGTGTGTGCGTGTGTGCGTGTGTGCGGGTGTGCGTGTGTGCGTGTGTGCGTGCGTGCGTGCGTGCGTGCGTGCGTGCGTGCGTGCGTGCGTGCGTGCGTGCGTGCGTGCGTGCGTGCGTGCGTGCGTGCGTGCGTGCGTGCCGTGCGTGCGTGCGTGCGTGCGTGCGTGCGTGCGTG